TGCCTTCCTCCTTCCACAATTTCCCCTCCAACAATTTGTTCCCATGTTTCCTCAAGAGTATCAGTACAAGTTACAATCTTAATTTTCTGACATTTAAATGTATCATGGCCTGGAAAGTATAGAAAAAGGTAGAAATGCAAGGGTTCTTCATATATATATATATATATATATATATATATATATAAAAAGAATCCTTGTATTTGCATATATATATATGTATATATATATGTATTAGAAATGCAAGGTGTATTTGTAGGTTTCATGGGGCGCCCTGCTTTATTCAAGAGTAGAGCTGCATCCTGTAAACTACCTTCTAGCATGGAGTAATGGAGTCCCAAGTAGCATCTTAACCACTTGGTGTAATACTTATATCCCAACTTTAGAACCAAACTCCATCAACTGAGGCATCCATCTTTGTAACTATTTATTTTAAAAATATTTAGTTATTTTGCTGAAAAATCAGAGCTCCACAGAGAGTGCAAAAGACAGAGAGAGGTCATCACCTGCTGGATCATACCTCAGGTGGCTGTAAAAGCCAGGTTGAAGCCAGGCCAAAGCCAGGAGCCAGGAGGCAGGAGCGTCTTCTGAGTGTTCCACATGGGTATAAGGACCCCATCGTTTGGGTTGTCTTCTGCTGCTTTTCCCAGGCCATTAGCAGGGATCTGGATAGAAAGTGGGGCAGCCCGGACTCAAACTAGTGCCTATGTGGGATGCTGGCATTATAAGTAGCATCTTTACCTGCTACACAACACCAGCCCCTATGTCTGTCTCTTACCACTGGAAAAGTCCACCCACTTATGATTTCTGGAGACAGAATTACACTCTTATTTAGAATGAGAAAACATGTAGTTGCTTGTCAGGAGAGGAATGTCACAGGTCCCTTTACAAGCATGCACACCCAGTGGGGGCTCCAACTGTAGGTAGGATTGGGCTTATTGGCAAACTAACTACTTGGGTAGTTTTTTCAAACTGTTGTCAGAAACCTGTTGGTCAACAGTTGCAGAGAAAAATGGCTTTCAGAAAGAATGCCTCCTTAAAGGATCATGGAGCAAAATGCTGAAAAGTTGAGTTCTGAGTATCTGACTCCCTTACCAACCTCACTGACCACCAGAAAGGACTACTGAAGAAATTAGAGAAGAAAGGTGGCAGGTGTAGGAGGAAGCACAGGAACACCAGTGAATCTGGAACTGTGGTGTGGTTTCAGTTTGTAACCCAACAGCAAAACACTGAGAAGGAGATAGGTTCTGCTGGCATGGCTACCTCCTCCAAAGCCCTGGTGGAAACAGAATGCTGTCACTGAGTAGGAGAGAGAAGGGCACAGAAGCCCGACAATTCATTTACATTTACTCTAAGTCCACAGAAACGAGAAGAAATCGAATACTGACATTACAGCACCAAGTTAATCACTGGGAGCGCTGATTTTTGCATAAGGGAGAAGAAATTAAATTGAGATGCCAGAAGTAAACAGAACTTGCTTGCTCTTATTTAGAGAGGATCAGGGAATACTGGAAACTTGAGAATTTATTACAAGAAGGAAGGATCTTTGCGATCTCAGGATTCTTTTTTTTTGTTGTTGTTATTATAATTACTATGTTAGGACTGTTTCAGAGTTACAGGAAAGTTTAGCAGGTAGTACAGAGTTCTCATTTGCCTCCACACCATACCCAGTTTTCCCCTAATGTACTCATCTTTTACATTGAGCTAATCATGAGTTTTGAATGTCTTCACCTTGAATTCATTACCATAAGTCATCCTCTGCCTTTGCTATCTGTCAGTCTGCACTGCAACAGTGAGAAATCTGGCTCCCACTATGCACCAGCAGCGTATTTAACTACTCAGTTCCTTTATACATGCTATGCATAGCAGCGTGAGAGGTAGGAACCTGCACTCCTAGGGGGCAATGACATTACCACCTTCAGCACCCTGCTTATGTGCAGTTCCCATTATCTTTACTCTTAATTTGTGCAGTTCCTGTTACCTTTGCTCTTAATGACTTTACTCACAACCATATGGAATTAAGTCAGTACCCCACCCACTGCTCTTCAGTGACGCCTTAAGGAAATAAAGGATGGAGGAGTAATTTACAGATCCAAGTAAACTTAAAGACATAACACACTTTTTAAATTAGCAAGATACACGTTATACCAACTAGAGGTATACAGCTAAATGGTAAGACTTAAAAAGCTAGGAATTCATTGCTATAAAGGCAACCACATAAAACAGAAACTTCTACATCTAGGAAGATGAAGTGGCAGAGAATGGATCTAACCTTCCATTTGAAACAACTAAAAAAAAAACAAACAAACAGTGAGGTCATAGATGAAAATATGACATACTGGTTTTCTTACATTAAATGTCAGGTACTACAGAACCATGGAACAGCGATTCCTGAGAGGTAGACATAGAGACAAGCTAATCTCTCCTCTGGCCTAGCTCAATTCCTGCAGTTTCCAGTTATAGAGGAGGCGGTAGACACAGTCTCTGGCATTTCCCCTGAGATAAGCAGAAGCAGCTGGGAGTCTGAGAGGCCAAGCTGAGGACCAGAGAGCAAAGAGCTATCACAGAGAGAATGCCAAAGTCCCTCTGAGCAGAGACAGACGAAGAAAAAGTCGGTCCAGGAAAACTGCCCCCAGAGGGGAAAGTGCCACCCAGGAGGGGTTGTGTTCTACTGCTTAGAGTGGAAGACCTTGGCAATGGCTCACCTACTGAGATGGGTGTTCTAAGTGATGGGGAACAGTAGGATTAGGAGACTGGAAAGCTACAAAGAGAAACTTCCCTGAGTAGTGGTTCCTGTAGGAAAAGCAGAGGAAATACCCAACTCTTTCCCTTTATCTACAAGTTTTCTAAGTAATGAAATGCACTAGCATCCTCCGAATAGGGTAAAGAGCTTTCCTTATAAAATTACCGTGATTACAAACACCTAGAATTAAACACATTTGATGTGTTTTAATGTCTTTGTCCTTTTAATGCTCTAATTATGCAACTTTAACATGAGGAATATTCTTCAAATGCATTCTGAATTCCTTTAGCAAATTCTTTTCTTTGCAACACTTTTTCTAATTCTGTTTGAAAACTTATTTTAAAAAAGATATATATATTTTATATATTTAATATAATATTTTATATTATATATAAATATTTATAAGCACATATATTCATAAATATATAACATATAAATATATAAAAATATTTTATAAATATATTATATATCTATTTTTTATTGGGAAGTCAGATATACAGAGAGGAAGATTTTCCATCCATTGTTTTACTCCCCGAGCAACCACAACAGACAGAGCTGCGCCAATCTGAAGCTAGGAGCCTGGAGCCTCTTTTGGATCTCCCACACGGGTGCAGGGTCCCAAGGCTCTGGGCTGTCCTCATCTGCATTCCCAGGCCACAAGCAGGGCGCTAGATGGGAAGCGGGGCCTCTGGGATTAGAACCAGCGTCCATATGGGATCCCAGGTACATACAAGATGAGGACATTAGCCATTAAGCTACCGCGCTGTGCCCTGGAAAAGTTATTTTAAAATTCATGTTTGGAAATCTGAAGTTGCATTGATTATATCAGTGATCAGAGTGGAGCAGCCAGGATTTGAAAGTGGCACTAGCACAACTGAACGCTTCCGCCTTTAGGCTACAGCTTCAGCCAGGTACAAATGGCACTCCCACAGCAATTATCAAGACTGACAGATGGGAGGCGTGTGTAGGAGCAGGTTAAGCTGCCAACCCATATCTGAGGACAGGTTAGAGTCCTGGTTCCCCTTGTAATCCAACTCCTTGCCAAGGTGCCTGGGGAGGCAACAGCATATGGCCCAAGCACTGGCACCTCTGCCACTCATGTGGGAGATTGGCATGGAGTTCCAGTCTCCTAACTTCAGCCTGAGGGAGCACTGGCCATTGTGGCCCTTTGCGGGAGGAAATCAGAAGATGGAAGATCAGTCGGCCTGCCTCTTTCAGTTCGCCTTTCAAATAAATGGAGTTTTACAAACGGCAAATGTATGAGGACCAGGTGCGCCAATGGGAGAGTGTTCAATGAAGGAGCTTAGTGACGATTCAGTTGGCCATGGGGGAAGGCCTAATTTAATATAGTAGTCAGGGTTGACCAAATGGGGGCCTGATTATGCTAGGTACTCTAGGACTGCAGTCTCAGATCTTGGTGATAGGAAGTTAGGTTTCAGAAGGGCCGTGCTACAAACGACTCCTGATGCCTGGAGCAAGCCCTGGACCACTGAGCTCAGCGCTCTGGACCTGGGGGGCAGTGTGGGAGCTGCCATGTCTCCGAGGAAGGCAGCTCCCCAGTAACACAGCCCATTGCCCGTGACCCTCCTCCTGCATCAGTGAGCGGCCTACCCTCGGCGTGGTCCTAAACCAGAGAAGCCCCTTGGCTTGCTTGTCCGAGGTGGGCACCAGCACTGCAGAGATCTGGTAGGGGGAGGCACCTTGCACATAATCACTCAGCTCAGCTGGGAAATTACTGACGCCGAGGAAGGGAGCATTATTTCTTTGTACAATGTGTGTAAATTAGCCAGTTTATCGTGAAACGCAGCATGTGGGGGATTCTTTTCTTCGACAGCCTGGAAGCGTTTAAGTAACGCAGCTGGACTGGCATGAGTACAGGACTGAGCTCGGGTTGGAAGAGGAAAAGCTAAAGGACCTGGAACCACGTCAGAGTACCTCAGTCGCCTCCGCGGACGCGGCAGAGCGCGCACAGCTTCCTTCTGCAGCCTCGCAGCTTCTGCGCATGCCCATCGCGGAGCCGCGACGAGACGTGACCCCGGAGCTCTCACGTCTCTTCCCCAGGCCACGCCCTTCAAAGGGGAGAAGCTCCGCCCACAGCCACTCGGTCCCGCCCACACACCTCTGCCCCGGACCCATTTCCCAGCCCCGGTGGGCTGCGCCGCGCGGTCGGGGCCAAGAGCGCGAGACCACGTCGGCGCGCGCCCGCCCCGCGGCTCGCCGCAGGCCCCGCCCCCGGCCCCGCCCCCGGCCCCGCCCCCGCGGCTACCCTGCGGGCGCCGAGAAGGCGAGCATCGGCGCGCGCGCGTTGCGGAGCCATGGAACTGCCCGGCAGCCTGTGCAAGAAAGTCAAGCTGAGCAATAACGCGCAGAACTGGGTGAGTGCGGACGGAGGGCCGAGCCAGCGGGCCGCCCAGGCTGCTCGGGCCGCCTCCGCCTGCCGCCTCCCTCCTCGGCATCCTCTCGGGAGCGCGAGCGCCTGGAAGTGGCTGCGCGGGGGCCGGCGCTGGGCGCGGACTCGGTCCACCCTGCTGCGTGGCGGCTGCGGAAAGCCGCGCCCCGGGCGGGCGAGCGGACGCCGGCATCCTCGGGAAAGGCCCGAAGCCCTGGGGAGGCGGAGGCCGAGACGCCGGGGCCCGGCGTTCCTGGTTTTTCTTGGCTCCGCCGGTGCTGTTGGCCTGGCTCTTCTCCACGTCTTCAGTGAGAGCTCAGAGGCACCCAACAATGTGGCCATTCACGGCTGAGACGGCTCTGAACTGAGCTTCTTTGTGTGTGTGTGTGTTTGTGAGAGAGAAATCGGAATGTCTGGCAAATAACAGTGTCAAAGATTTGGCTCCTGATGACAAGGAAGTTTTGGAAGCACTAATGGTTTAAAACGTTCAGCATGGATCGCTCTTGGCCTGGCTGGTCAAGAGGTGTGTTCGCAGAAGACTACTTACTTCATTCATTGTCTCCTGATAAGCAACAGTTTGTTAGTGCGTAGTGAGGGGTTGTGGGAAGGGTGTCCGATCTGGGGAGTCCGGAAAGACCCTGGTTTGGGGCTTAGATGACAGTGCAAGCAGCATCACGGGGGCTTCAGCGCAGTCGTGCAAAACATCACTCGCTCTTGGTGAGTCCGAAGAACGAAACAGGAAGCTCCTTCGGGCTAATGTCCTTCTGAAGTCATTAATTTACCATATCTGTTGCTAAGGTCAAGGCGTCTCCGGCATTCCTTTCTCCCTTCAGTTACTCAGCTCCTTCAGGGAAGGTGCACGGGCCGAAAGGGTGGCCCAGACAGTGCAGGAGCTCTGAGCTGCTGGGCTTCCTCCCCAGCTGTGGTGTGTGAGCTAGGATGACGACGCTGCTGGTCAGCTTACTTAAGGATGTAGTGGATGTCCTTCACTCGCTTGTTCTTATGAGCAAAGATGATGAATTGAAAGGTGCAGTGAACTCACTGCCTTGAAATGCGGACTGAGGCTTCTTCTGCTGGCTGTAGGTGTTTCATGGTTGGCTGAATTGGGGTAGCTACAGGTAATTTCAGTTTTTCCAACCCTGACTCATTTGTTTATTCTATTTGCCGTGTCAGCGCCGATTCTGTGAGAAGACCTGTGCTGAAACGGGAGATGGAAAATGTAGGCTTAGAGTGTTCCCTTTCGTTGCTCATGGTTCTAAACGGCCATTTGTAAGATGATGAATACTTTACACACCACCATGAATGGTGGAAAGCAGGTTTTATGGGGGGACCGGCATGGTGCCATGGCAAACTAATACTTTGCATGCAGTGCCGGCATCCCATATGGGTGCTGGGTCAAGTCTCAGCTGCTCCACTTCCGGTCCAGTTCCCTACTTATGGCCTGGAAAAGCAGCAAAAGATGGCACAGGTCCTTGGGGCCCTGTATCTACAGGGGAGACCTGGAAGAAATGCCTGGCTCCAAGCTTTGGATGCACTCAGTTTTAGCTATTGGTGCCATTTGGGGAGTGAACCAGTGGATGGATGTGTCGGTCACTCCTTCCTCTGCGAGAGAGTCTGCCTTTCAAGTTAAAAAAAATCTAAAACCACCATCAATAAAAAGACAACTTTTATGGCAATTTAGAGGAAACATTAGTTGGTTGTGGGTGCTTTGGGAGGGCGAGAGCAGGAGCTCAGATTTCTGAAGTGGAGGGGAGCTGTGTGAATAAGTGTGGGCAGTAAGAATTTCTGATTTTTTTTTTAAACCCAGAGAACAATGAAAGCACTTGTTTGACTCCTGCGGCTCTTTCCCTGGGGAGTGGGATAAGGCTGCATAGGTAGGCTCAGGCAGGGTTGTGCAGTTGCAGAGCTGCCCAGTTCAGACTTGATTTTTTTAAAAAAGATTTATTTTTATTATTTTTTTATTGGAAAGGTGGATATACAGAGAGGAGAGACAGAGAGGAAGATCTTCTGTCCGATGATTCACTCCCTAAGTGAGCGCAACGGGCCGATGCTATGCCTGTCCGAAGCCAGGAGCCTCTTCCTGGTCTCCCACGTGGGTGCAGGGTCCCAAAGCCTTGGGCCGTCCTCTGCTGCTTTCCTGGGCCACAGGCAGGGAGCTGGAAGGGAAGCGGGGCTGCTGGGATAGAACCGGCGCCCATATGGGATCCCGGGCGTGCAAGGCGAGGACCTTAACCACTTGCACCACCGCGCTGGGCCCCAGTCTTGATTTTGTGGGAGCTTTTTGGTAGGGCTAGAATTTAAATTTTCTCAACCTTGGAAATTTTTTGTTTCTCCCGATCTGTCTCAGACACTTAGGTCAGCTGATAGCTGGGGGTGTGAAGTTGCCATCGCAGGGCAGGTTGTAATGCAGGAAGAGTGTAGCCACTGGGAGCCTATGTGTGGCAATCCCAGAGGCCAAGAGTGCATGGATGAATATTGCAGGAGTTCTTGTCACTAATTCATCCAGTGTGCGTGGGTGGAACCTTGGCTCAGGTGGCAGTGGGATCGCAGGAACAGATGAACTCAAGGCATTTCAGGAAGAGGAAGGAGGGCCTGACTACATTTAGGGGTGAAGAAGGGAGTATTAAAAGCTGATCCTCAGTTTTGAGCCCTTAACTCAGTGGGATTTGGCAGCATTTCTGAGGTGGATATCCTTAAGTGCAAGAACCGTGGAGTCTACTGCAGCGCTCCACTGCTTATTAAATACATGACCTTTGGCTAGTCATTTAATTTTTCTGTACTGCCTGTCTGCTCATCTGGAAGATGGCAGTGATAGCCCCGTAGGGATATTGTGAAGGTTAAGGCAGTTATCTTCTACCATCCACATTAGGCTCTTTATCACAGGTTGAGCCTCTTTTATGGAGGAAGAAGCTGGGCACAAAGATGTCTTACAGCTTGTTGAATCATCTGAGACATACAGATTGCTCAGGTTTCATGATTATAGCCTTATCATTGAGTCAGTCTCAATTACAGCTTAATAGCAAGCTTGTATTTGTTAATGGTACACGCTAGGCAACAGCATGTGGAAATTTCAATGATTGCCTCCAGGAGGCACTCGCGGGCTTCTGCTGTAAGTTTCAATCCATTTGATGGCCTGGTGATAGATTTCCAAAATCATTCCCAAGTAGGGATCGTAGAGGCCCAAAGGTGTTGAAAGGTCTACTGCTTTTTGTAGCAGTAGCTACATGGATTGTCTCCCTTTAGGTTTTCACTGAAGCATAGCTTCTTTCAGGTAGTCTTAGAGATCGGAGCCAGCAAGACCCCCCAGGGGTGAACTGGGTAATCTCCAAAAAGGCAAATGAACCATCCAATTGCTGAGCTTCTTGTTTGGTCCTAGAGGTTGATAGTAACAGTAGCTAATTTTATTTCTGTGTGTGTGTGTGTGTGTGTGTGTGTGATTTGTTTCCAGTTTTCCACTTGTCTTCACTTTATTTGAAACACAGGCATTGGTTTTTTATTTACTGGTTCACTTCCAAAATACCCTGGGCCATTAAGGCTAGGGTGTGTGCCCCATGGGTGGCGTGGTGTCAGCTGCTGGAGTTAGTGTCAGCTGCTGGAGTTAGCATCTGCTGCCTTGCAGGGGTGCAACAGCAGGAATTTGGAATCCAGAGTGGAGCCGGAACTAGAACGCAGATGCCCTGGCGTGGGATGCAGGCATTCCTCGTGGCGTCTTCACGGTTGCGTCAGATGCTTTCTCCAGCGGTTAATTTCAGTTGCTTGTGAAATATTTGGGGTCTTCCTGTCCGGTTATTTCCTAAGAGTGTCACTGTCTGGGCAGACCGTTGCATCTTTCCTGGGTGAATGTATACCTGTCCTTTCCCTTTCACCTGTTACCTTCCCATCGTAGACATAGAGTGTGTGTTAGTCCACTGGAAATCGTGTCAAGTCCAGATCCCTCTTGACCAAACTGTGCTAGTGAGAAGGTAAGTTCAGCTCATCCTGCTGCAATGCTGTCAGTGTGAATTTGGGTCACTCCCATGGGAAAACTAACTGCAGTTAGCTTTTTCCAAAATTGAGATAGGCAAGAAAACACTTGCAAACACAGTCACTGAGTCCCAGTTTTCTTTAGCCAGCTGTATTTTCTCTGTGGTCAAAATCCTCACTGGGATTGCCAAGGCTGTGGGCAATACGGCTTGGCAGTCCCCTGTTGGTCTTTGTGTGCCTTCCTTCTCCTTCCCTGGCCAGCCAGGCCTGTTGTGCAGATATTTCCTTGGCATGGGCACTCTTGGTTCCGGAGGCAGTCTCCGCCCACCAGCTATCCTCTGTTGGCTCTGAGATGCAGTGTGAGTTGTGAGAGTTCTAGTGACTCTTATTCAGTAAGTTTGGCCTGAAGATAGACTTGCATGCTGTTTTACAGTAAAAGGTGTGGGAAACAATCCCTAGTCAATCATGATATCCATTCCAATCATTTACTCGGATTTGTAAAGCTTGTTTAAAAATCCCAGTCTTCATCCAGATAGCCACTTTAGTCCCATCAACTTTGCATTCCTTATCTTCCCAACTTAACCTTAGCTCTTGCCACCAGCCTGTGGAGTAGCATGCGCTGGGCTCCTGTGTCAAGGAATGCCCAGTGGACTGCTTCTCTCTGGCCTGGCCCATTTTTCCTGTGTGTGCCTTCAGCCTGGCTCCCAGCCAAGGTCAGGCCAGGGAGAATTTAGCCTGTGTGTTAATCTTTAACCACTTCAACTCTTGTCCCTGGGCAGGGCATTCTGTGCATTCTGGCTTTATCATACCCCTCCACACAGGTAAATGCAGCAGATTTGCTTGGGACCTTTTAAGATTGGGGGCTTTGTGTGATAGTGGGTCTCACTGGTCCATCTATTTAAATAATAGAAAATAAAAGAAAAAATAATTTTCTTTTGAATATTAACATAATTGAGAGGGATAAATGCCCACATGGGCCTCCAGTTAGGGTGGGGAGGGTCAGGTATGGAGAAAGGTGAGTAG